CTGCCATCACCATTCAGAGGATTTACATGATCTTCTACTGGTGCATCAACGCCGGATCTCTGTCTCTGCTCGCGACTCCCTACCTGGAACGCGACCGCGACTTCTGGAGTGCCTACCTGCTCTGCCTATGCGTCTTCTTCGTCGGACTGCTCGTCCTCGTCCTCGGCCGTAAGGTTTACGTTGTCCGACCTCCTCAGGGATCCATCATTACCGATGCCTTCCGCATCATCTGGATGATGATCAAGAACCGTAACATGGACGCTGCTAAGCCATCTTACCAGGCCGGCCTCGGCAAGACCAAGGTCCTCAACTGGGACGACCATTTTGTCGATGAGGTCAAGCGTGCTCTTATTGCTTGCCAGGTTTTCTGCTTCTACCCCATCTACTGGGTCGTCTACGGCAACTTCTCCAACAACTTCGTCACCCAGGCCGGTCAGATGCGTCTTCACGGCATTCCCAACGATCTGATGCAGAACTTTGATCCCATCGCTATTATCGTTTTCCTGCCCATTGTCGACCAGTGGCTCATGCCCACACTCCGCAAGCACAAGATCGCCTTCCCTCCTATCAACCGTATTGTCGCCGGTTTCTGGATTGCATCCTTCGCCATGATTTACGCTTGCGTCATCCAATACTACATCTACCACTCTGGTCCTTGCTACATGACCCCACTAGCCTGCGACGCTGATCTTGTCAATGGCGTTCACCAGGGTAACAACATCCACGTTGCCGCCCAAACCGGTGCCTACATTCTCATTGGTCTCTCTGAGATCTTCGCCTCCGTCACTGGACTCGAGTACGCGTACACCAAGGCCCCGCCTAGCATGAAGTCCTTCGTCCAGTCCATGTACCTGCTCACCAACGCTTTCGGATCTGCCATCTCCGAGGCTCTCAACCCGCTTGTCGTTGACCCCAAGATCCAGTGGATGTTTGCTGGTCTTGCCGTTGCTTCGTTTATCGCTGGTTGCCTCATCTGGATTCTGTTCCACCACCTCAACGAGACTGAGGACGAGATGAACCAGCTTGACCAGGACTACGACAAGGATGAGACCTTGAGGAGGAGCAGTGTGCACGGAGACCGCACTGTCGGTGTCCACCATTCTATTGATGAGAAGGCATAGATGGGGTTGTAGAGATCCCGAAAGGGGTGTTAGTGGGAAGTTAATGTGCCATATTGCATGGCAGCTATGATACCAAGATGAGAATTCAACTGTTCAAAACAAACCGTATGTTCTTTGATAATGTGATGCCCAGGTGTGCAACTAAATGGCTTTTCTTTTCATCCTCTAAATGCACTGGTGCCGATACAGTCTGGGTTGTTCTTCGTAGTTGGACTTCGACCTACCTTGTGGCCGCGTTCTTATGTTCCATGGTCCACTATTGTTCGGCGTGCGACGAGTCCAGATTGCCTGGTATTTTGGCCAACCGCAGGCTAGCGGAGGACTGCATGTGACGCCGCCGCGCTAAGCCAGCCCTGGAGGCGCCCCGCAACTGCCGTGAACTTTACTGGCGAAGACTCTTTACCCCCATGCACAATCATTCACTCCAGTTGATTGTTTGCTGTGCAGCGAACGCTACAAGATATATGCCCAGATTCGCTTTCTACGTTCCGGCTTTCAAAACGACACTTCCTCGCAAACCTGCGTCGACGATCTCGCTTACTATTTTGAGAAACTAAGAAAGGCAGTCACCTTCTAGATCTGTCCTAACACTCGTATACTCCGTCACACATCTCGTATCCTTTGCCCCTACGTTCGAGACACCGCTTCCTTCCACCTGTGATACGGCATAGCTCTTTTACTCAGACGCGTCAGCTCGCGCGCTGTTTTCTAGCTGAAATTTATCTTGTTTGCTTTTGTGGTGGTGCTCAACCTCCTTCAGCCTCTCTTTCCAGCTAGCTAGCTACTCGTCACTTACTACCTGCCTACCTACCAACATACAATTCGCATCACGCACATGCAGCAACAACTGTTCAGGATGACGTCTACAATCACCACGACACCGACGACGACATACAACTATGTCTACACAACCTACACAAATGCGTCGCCGAGACCCTTCACCAAACCCACAGAGTTCCCGTCCATCTTCAGCTACGGCCCTGCAGTAGGATGCGCCTCCAACTCTGCCATGCCCGATACACCCGCGCAGCCTTCCAATTACCCTCTCGGTCGACCGTCCGGCCGCGATGGCGGATGCGTCATCAGCAACGACGCGGACTTCAACGACCATGCTTTCTGGGATATGTACGCGTGCTGTTCTGGCAACGACAGCACCGCAATGGGCAGCCCGTTTCCTTGCACGGCAATGTGCTCGGCTAGCGACCAACAGAGCTTCTTGGAGCTGGGAGAGTGTCTGAGCAAGAGGGTCGACGTTGTCATCTGCACTCCACCGTTCGACGAGATTAGCAAGAATTCGACGGACCCGGATACAGCTAGTAGCAGTGGTTCTGTGGCGCAATCCTCATCGGCGGGTACGATGAGCGAGAGCGGGAGCGCGACTGCGAGCTCAAGTGGCGATGCGAGCGCGAGTGCTAGCTCTTCGACTGCGGACTCGACGGGCGCTGCCAGTGCGGTAGGCGTTACACACGGCGCGTTTTCGAAGGCTGGGCTGGCGGTATTTGGCATCATGGCGCTTGGCTCCGCTGCGGGCATGTTCTTGTAGGAGGGCACGGGATAGGATAATGTATATTATACTGAGCTGGTCTTACTTCCGTGTCCCCTTTCAGTACCTTGGTGTAAGTTTATCCAGTCGGAACATATTTCACAGATTGTTGTCATTCATACTCGCAGTAGCATAGTCTCATTGCATAACAAATGCTTTCCTGAAACGGACCTTTTGCCATGAACATCTCATTCACTACCATGCTCATGGCTGATCATAATGTGACGCCTTGATTTTGGTATAGAACGAGAAAGAGAAGGGATCGAAGAACCAACGAGCACAACTCCATGGAAGTCATTCCAGGACGCGCATATAGAAAGGGACGAGATGAACATGCAAATGTCAATTGACTTTCAAGAAACACGTAGGTACAGTATTTACAACCATTCACCTAGCCCGCTACCGCCGCTGCTGAGCCACCACACCGAAGACCTGATCGTCTTCGTGATTGATCTCGTCGACTATATGAGTGTGACCCATCGGCCCTGTATCCTTCATGCAACGCAACAAAAACTCATGCTGTGCAAATCGTGCCAAAAATGCAGCCGCCTTTCTATTCCTTTCTTCTACTTCTTACCGGTCAACTTCACCTGCAGAGGAAGTTAGTATATGTCTCACATGCACTTCTTATGGATGGGACTTACCAAAGACCAAATCCATTGTTCCGATAATGGCCACAGCATCGGCAAGCAAATGACCTCTTGAAATCTGGTCCATGCAGGCCAAATGTGCGAATCCAGGTGCCCTAATCTTACACCTGTACGGCCTCTCGCTACCATCTGAGACCAAGAAGACACCCATCTCTCCCTTGGGCGCCTCAATAGCGCTGTATGTCTCACCAGGTGGTACAGTGTAACCCTTGCTGAAAAGCAAGAAGTGGTGGATGAGAGCCTCCATGTTCTCCTTCATGGCAGCACGTGGTGGGGGCGCGATCTTGTAGTCCTCAACCTTGACGGGGCCGGCTGGCATGTCGTTCAAGCACTGGTGGATGATGCGGAGAGACTGACGGAACTCCTCCATACGGCAGAGGTAACGGTCGTAGCAGTCACCGTTGACACCGACTGGGACGTCAAAGTCAACCCTGTCGTAGGCGTCGTATGGCTGCGATTTGCGGACGTCCCAGGGAACTCCGGATCCTCGGAGCATGACACCGGAGAAAGAGTAGTTGATGGCGTCAGCAGCTGAGACAACACCAACGCCCTTTGTGCGGCCAATCCAGATACGGTTGTCTGTCAACATCTCCTCAGTCTCGTCGATGCGGTCACCGAACTGGGTGGCCCATTGGTAGATATCGTCGAGAAGACCGAGGGGGAGATCCTGAGACACACCACCGGGGCGGACGTAGGCTGCGTGAAGACGGGCACCGGAGACTCGTTCGTAGAATTCCTAGACGTAATCAGCATGTGCAATCTATGCTTTTGCCACGCACAACTCACCATGAGCTTCTCACGCTCCTCGAAACCCCACAAGAAGGGCGTCAGAGCACCGACATCCATAGCGTGGGACAAAACCGACATGAGATGGTTCAGAATGCGGGTGATTTCACCGAACAAGGTACGGATGTACTTGGCGCGGATTGGGATATCGATGTTTAGCAGCTTCTCGACAGCCAGCGAGAAGCACTGCTCGTTGGTCATCATGGAAACATAGTCGAGTCGGTCAAAGTATGGCAGAGCCTGGAGGTATGTCCGGTACTCGATGAGCTTCTCTGTGCCTCTGTGCAGCAGGCCAACGTGCGGGTCGGCGCGCACAATCTCCTCTCCATTCAGCTCCAGAATCAAGCGCAACACACCGTGGGCAGCGGGATGCTGGGGCCCGAAGTTGACAGTGTAATGCCGGATCTTCCTGGTGTCTACATGTTCGTCCTCCTCCGCTCTGGTTTCCTGGGCCGTCTCGGCCGGTGCAACGCCGCCGAAGTTGGAATCAGTCGGGACCAATCGTGTCCGCTGGCTCTCCTCGACTTCAGCGTATCGGCGGGGGAATGTAGTCGACAGGCAGCGTGCAATGGGCCGTGAAGGGATTGCCGATCGGAGCTGGGGTCGGGAGGCGTTGAGGCACGCTCGCTTCGCCGCGGGGCCGGCCAGACGCGCAAAGGAGACGGGCATGGTGGTGGTATCTCTCCCTACGTCGAGTATAGGGCCTCAATGGGCGTGTAGAGTGGAGAGTGAGGGCGTGGCGTTGGAGGGGAGCTTTCCTCATATCGATGATGCTACCAGATTGAGTCTACCGCCATTGGCTGCGTGGGTCTTGGCGTGCCGGCGCCTTCCTCGAACTTTTTGTGAACATGGAAAGTGCTCCCCTCCGAAAACACCAAACTTGACCCCAACACCGCAACCATGTCGACGCCGAGTGCACAGGAGCAGATCAAGCGCAAGGTACTTACGCGACTTGGAATATGGGGTTGATCTTCCGCTAATGCCACAATTAGACGCTTGGAGTTGGTCCAGAGACAGTCACCAACCAGCAGTCTACCGACTTCCCAGGACACTGGCCGGGCGAGAACCACGAATGGGACTTGGAATACTTCAAGGAGGTATGCGCGACCAGATTCATATCAAAAATCATGACTACGTACTAACCAAAGGTTCAGAACTTCAACGTCACCTTCCACAAATTTGTCCCCAACAACGCCGAGTTCTCCCTCACTGGTATCGACACCTCGGTCGCAAACGCCTTCCGCCGCATTCTCCTCTCCGAAATCCCTACGCTCGCCATAGAAGACGTCTTCATCTACCAAAACACATCCATCATCCAAGACGAAGTGCTCGCCCACCGCCTTGGCCTAATCCCCCTCTGCGGCGACCGCGAGGGTCTCCGCTGGCTGAAATGGTACAAGAAGCCCACAGACGACGACGAGGGCTCCGGAACACCCTCAGACTATAACACCATTGCGCTGCGACTAGACGTGGAATGCACATGGCAAGAGGGCGGTCTGCAACGAGCAGTAGCTGGAGAGACCGATCCCGATAAACTCTACGTCGGCCACAATGTCTACGCTAAAGACATCGTCTTCCAACCCCACGGCCGTCAAGAGGAGAAGTTTGCGCAAAGCGAAGGGAAAGAAATCCGGTCTACCAACCCAGATATCCTGATCGCAAAGATGAGGCCAGGGCAGAGCATTTGTCTCAGCATGCACGCTATCAAGGGCATCGGACAAGACCACGCCAAGTTCTCGCCCGTCGCAACGGCTTCGTACCGCCTTATGCCTACCATCGACATCACGAAACCCATCATCGGCGCCGACGCAAAGAAATTCGCCCGCTGCTTCCCCCGGGGTGTCATCAAGCTCGACAAGGTCACTTCCGAGGACGCCCAGAAACATGCCGAGCTGGAAGGCAAGGAAGGCGAGCCTAAGGCTGTAGTCGAGAACGCCATGAATGACACCGTCAGCAGAGAATGCTTAAGACATCCCGAATTCAAAGACAAAGTGAAGCTGGGTCGGATACGGGACCACTTCATCTTTAAGGTAGAAAGCACTGGCCAGTGGGAGAGCGACGAGCTGTTTTTGGAGAGTGTTAAGCTGCTCAAGATCAAGTGTCAAAGGATTAAGAGGGGATTGGATGAGATGCAAAAGTAGGAAGCTCTTTAGAACGGGAGTGTGGAAGAATTTGCATTGCAATGGCGTTTTAGGGCATTACGGTGGCGGGTTTCGAAAAGTCTACGATATCACGGAGCGACTTCTTTTGCATGGATTAGTCCAGCTGACATTGTGCCTTTGAGCGGTTGTCAACAGGCATAACCAATGATTACACTATACTTTCAAATCGCATCTCGCATTAAGGGTGCAGGTTTCATGTGCATGATCTGGTACCTCAAACTCAAAACGTATTCATTGACTTTGATGCCTATGCTAGAACGAGATCGAAGTACAGTCTAGAGAGAAAAACAAGCTTGCTTCTATTGATACAACTAGACATTCGTAACTGACGCGTATTTGCACAAAAATCATAGCTTTACAAAGACGAAACCGACAAGTATCAACCGGGGTATATGAGAATTTGTCCACCTGGGACACCTTGCTAAATGAACATCAAAGAAAGTCGTGTAGGATGTGTGTCTCGTTGACCGTGACAAAACGCATGGGTATGTTCGTGGGTCATCCGCGTTGAATCGTTGCGACGAGAGTTGAGGAGATTTCCACGAAAAGACATACTGACAGCTACGAGAGCTCTGCCAGCGCATCGCTACATAGCTTCTGCACGCTTTCAGGGTTGAAGCGTGGGCGCCATGTCATGTTCTTCCTTTTCTGCTGCAGCTTTTCCCGTTCCTCGTCTGTCAGCATGCAGCTGCTGCGAGGATCTTTGAACTGCGACTTGGTGGGGGATGGCGAAGGAGTCGGGAATGCGAAACGCACACCACGGACACCGGTCGTCTCTTTTAGGGTCCGCACACTAGTAAGATGGCCCTCTACCATGCGGACAAAGGCGGGGGTACCACTCGGCAGCTGGACCCCTGGTTTCGATCGCACATGCTCTGTGGAAAGAGGTGATAGGATGCTGTCGTTCTTGATGTGGCGGGACAAGGGTCTAGGGTCGGCACAAGAGTCCCATTCCACGTTTTTGCCGGGTGGGGATGGAAAGCGGAAGTTTCTCAGCGCAAGATCTGGGTCTACCTCCAGGTCGAAGGCGTAGGAATCCGTGCTTGAGGTCGAGCTGCGATAACTGCTTGTCGAGTCAAAGGATCTGACTCTGGATGACCGCCGGAACCAGGTCTGTTCGTTGGGGATGGTCGCAGAGTCTGGTGTCAGAGGCTGGTCGTCATCCTCCATCGGCGCAGTGGAAGATGGCGAAGGTGGTGTGAGAGCGACGATGGTCTCATTGTAGTACTTTTCCGCCGCGTTCAATTCCTTGTAGCGGTTTTTGAGGGTCGCTTCCCTCGCCAGTGTGTCGTGAGAGAGGGCGATGTAGAAGTTCAGATAAGCGGAGTGAATGGGATGGATCTGTTGTTCGTTAGCACTTGCTTTTCACGTGTTGCGCCTGCTTTGGCGACCTTCAGATCATGGAAGGTACGCGGCGTAGTGTTACTTTTACATACCTTGTCATTGATATCACCCAGTAAACGCTCCCCAAAACTTGCGCATTGTGTGTAGTGTCGACTAGCATACAGGTCCTTGAGAGCCTGCATCTTCGCCTTCAACATGTATGTTCCAGCCTGCGCCAGCATATTGCTCAGTCGTTCGAAGTTGTGGGTCGGTGAATGTGGGTCGAACTTGATTGAAGAGCAAGCAGCGATTGAATTGTATTTGCGAATGTGACCTTGGGCGTGAAGCAGACCGGATAGAGGCGGAACGAAAAGAGAGAAACGCAGCCTCAAAGAATGAAAAAAGTGAAGCCGGCTTCAGGGTTTATTGAATTGGTAGCGATGTAAGCAGTAAAGGCAATAATGCAGGGTGCGCTTTCCTCTTCTCGATGCTCCTCAGAAAACAGCTACCGGAGCGCTTTAGTGGGCGAACGAGACAAAAAGCAATGGGAACGCCCATAATGGGCCATATTATATGATGCCTCAAGGGCCTGACCGTGCCTGACTAGGCCTGACGTACTATTTCTGCGGGTGAGGGTGTGGTCAGAGGGGCGAGTCCGTTTCGAATGCAGGTTACGTTTCATAAACCAGCTATCCCTACCCTTAGCGCGCCGAAGAAGGTCAGGTACGCAAACACTTGCCGTCATTGGGATTGAAGCACGCATAAGGTTTGAAGGACCCTCGTGCAGACTGCTTGATTTGCAGTCTCATGGCAGTTGGTGTGCATAGTTGCTGCCTCACTGAGTAGTGGTGTAGTCGTCTGCCGGCGATTTTTTCCTCTGCCGTTGTCTGCGACTCATGACCTACAGCTGAGGGACAGGTCGGCATTGTAAGCCGGACATCAGCTTTGCCAATTTGCAGTTGGACCATGATGAGATATATCACACACAAGCCAACTTGCAGATGATTGATCTAGATCCGAGGCCGATCGCGCTGCACTGCAGCACACATCCGCGTGGTGTTTACCCAAGCGACCGTTTCCGATCTGGCGAGGAGGTTGTAGCGAGGACGGAGGATGCCGGGGCGCTCCTTGAGGTGGCTGGTGATCTTAGCCTGCATTCCTGCGACGACAATGGTGCAGCAGGAGAGCTGACACACGTGATGAGCATGACAGTACCTAGATCTGCACGGTGCTGCCCAGATGTGACGTAGGCCGCAGCGTAGATGCGGTCGAGAAGCAGACATGACACAAGGCACGAGATTCAACCATGAATGTTTTCCACGAACTGGCTGGTACAAAAGAGCTATGAACAGATGGTTATTCTACACAGCCCATGAGGGAGATGGAACCAGATCATTGGGATATCAAGTCTAAAGCTCCTGGAGCGCTTAACCCTCGGAAGCAGCCGCACCGGTAATAATCTCGACAAGTTCGCCAGTAATGACGGCTTGACGCGTTCGGTTGTAGAGAATCTGGAACTTGTTGATCATGTCTCCAGCGTTCTTGGAAGCATTGTCCATGGCGTTTTGACGCGCAGACTGCTCGCAAGCGTGACCCTCAGCCAGCGCCCAGAAGAGCGAGTTGGCAAGGGCGTACTCGCGGAGGTTGGGGAGAACCTCATCCTCAATCTCGAAAGCAGAGAAGTTGGCTAGATAGATTGTCAGACATGAATTTTGCTACTTGGAGGTATGACGTACCAGACTGGGCAATAGCCTCCTCAGAGTAGGCCTCCTGGATGGTGGCCTCGTAACTCGAAGCGTTGATGAACTTGTTGTAGACGATCTTGATGGAAGCGTATTCGGTGGGCAGCATGGAGATCTGGTCGGCAATGTGCAGGGAGTCGGCAAAGGTAGGAACGTCCTTTCCGGCACCGGCGAAGGACAGGACCATGTTCTTTCCGTTGGAACGACCAAGTTGCGCCTTGCACTTCTCGCCAATGACAGCCAACTCAATGTCGGAATTCTGTTGGAGCATAGCCCTGACCTTCCTCGACATTCCCGAGTGGATACCACCGCAGAGGCCCTTGTCGGAGCTGCAGACGATGACCAGGTTCTTCTTGCCCTCACTCTCGATGGGCTTGGTCTCGGCGCTCTCGAAAACGGTGTTGGACGTCTGGCCGTACTTGCGGGACTCGGTCATGGCCTTCTGGGCACGGGTGAGCTTGGTGGAGGCGACGACCTTCATGGTCTTGGTGATCTTCTCGATGTTGCGAATCGACTTGAGGCGGCCCTCGATTTCACGGAGGGTGGCATAGCCGGCAGCGTTGGAGACGGAGAGGGTGGCGGGCCTAGATACACAAGTTCCAGTCAGCACTCGATGCAGTGGGCGATGCAATGGCTCCGGCAATGGGGGGTCGCAGAGCGCGAGAAAAGCTGCGGGCGGAGGTGGGAGCGTACCGGGCGGCGGCGGCGGCCATGCCCGCCTTGAAGGCCGGGCGCGCAGCTCGTGACAGCATCATGGCTACGGATTGAGATGAGTGGAGATGGCGACAGCCGGTGGTGGTGCTTCACTGCTGTCTTTGCTGAGCGGAAGCTCTCATCGGGCAGTCGGGACACTGAATTGCTTTCCGCGCTAACACGCCAAGTGTCACGTGAGCGATTCCAACAGAGGACACCGGATGCGGTGCCTCTCACCAGCGCCGCCACGCTCGTGGCAGTCTGCGTGCAGTGTAGAGTGTGTCTTTGAACCATGCTGAAGTCCGAGGAGTCCGAAAATGGCTCCAAAGACGACATCGTCGTGACAACATTAGGAGGACATAGGCACGAACAATGGAGGAACAGGTGGCAGGCACCAACTGGGCACCCACCAAAGCCTTGACGCACCGTTCCGCATGTTCCGTATTGTAGGAAAAGCAAGCAGCTTGCACAATGGCTGTGTTCGCTGGTAGCCGATTTGCAGCGTCCTAGTGCATCGATCGATGGTGAGGTTACGCATCTGCTGCAAAGGCCGAACGCCCGTGCGCTGGTGGACTTAGTGAAGCACAGCTGGGCAATGGCTCCCTGGCTGCGCTTCACTTAACTCAGCATCCTCTGTCCGCCCTCGTCTATTCCCTTCGTCCCTGCTGCCTCAAACTTCAACATCGCCTCAATCGCACGACGTCTTTGCCCGCAAGTGGCGCGCGTCTCTCCACAACTCTCACCCTTCCACGGGCTCCGCTCTTTCGTTCCCACTAGGTTTCCTCGATCTGCGCCAGATCTCGCTGAGCACGCCCGTCCTGTTTTTTATTATCCGCAATCCCGGCGCGCGCCTGTCTCTCGCATCATGTCCTCTTCAGACGACGACACTCCTCTTGTGAGAGGAAAGAACCAAGGTGAGTGCGCCCAGCAATCTGCGCTATCTCCACGCGCCACGGCTATCTCCCTCTCACGCGCCCCGATCGCCCTTGTCAAATTCCACCCTCTCACCTCCCAACTATTACCAACCTCCTCCCTCGCTACCTTACCCAACCTAGCGCAACCAGTGCGCCTCCACTGAAGACGCAAAATGGCTAACGAAACTTTTCCAACAGCAAAGTCCAACGAACAGATCACCAAAGAAGAAGACAGAAAAATGGACGCCCAAGTCCCTTCCAACGGTCACGTCGAGCCCGGCATCTCAATCCGTATGGGTCCAGTCGC